TGGTTTGTAATGAGGGTTTTCCTTAAGGCTCATCTCAACAGAGTCTGCAATCCACCGGACTGAGGCTTGCTGGTGACCGAGATGTGTAATTCCACCACAAGTATGTTCATTAGGAATAGTCCTAATTGTGAATGTAGGGACATCTGGAAGCTTTGCAGCATGAATTCGCCAAGGGCATCCCTCACTAGCACATTTGGCAGTGAAACGAGTCTTGTCAGATTTAATTGTCTTCATCTCAAAGCGATGAGCAATGGCTGCATCTCTGAGTGCTCTCCGACAGCTGTGCACATCAGGGAACTGTTCCCCAACAGTCAGCTGATGACCTGGAACAGGAACAGGAACGTGGATGCGAGACTGAATAACAGCAGCATCAGTTACAATGCCCATCTCCTGATTTTGGTTTATAGCTGAACTTGAATTTTCATGAACATCAGAGTATTTTTGGATAGCCAATTCATGATTTTCCATTAAATCTAATCCTTGGGCCTGATCTATAGGGTTCAACTGATTTTCTTGGTCATCAACATTCAGCTTCGCATCTCTATCAAAATGCAACCTATTCTTTTCATAATTCTGAACATCTTCATCACGCAGAACCATATCATATTGATTGCTCTGATTAACAGCTCGCTTGTGATCATCAATATGACTGGAACCCAAGTCTTGAACATTCAAACTATAATCATCAATGTCTCCCAAACAATGATCCAAAACTGAGCTACCACCATGCCCCAGTTCCAAGTATTCATTCGGCCTCAGCAGTAAATCCCGAGTATGCTCAATCATCAAATCATTGCCCCCCATGACTCAAACATACACCTAAAGAAAGCTCCTTTGTAAGAAGTACCTGTGCCCAAAGACCATTTGCAAATCAGGATTCTTTTATCTCAGATTTGAAGATACCAAATTCCTTACAAATTCTGAACTAGACAGTAACATATCATGTGGTTACCTAGAGTCTACTCTTAATTTTCTCTTGAATTTGCTGATTCCGAGTGGACAACTAGATTTGAAACCCCTCCAAATTATCCAAAAGACCCCATCTGAATCAAACAGACAGCAATCACACGACATTAAACTAACCAACATGGAAACTAGACAACTTAAAATTAACTCAAATGATCAGTTTGGTTTCCATTCAAAAAAAAAAAAAAAAAAAAAACAGAGAATTTGCCGCAAAAAAACCACATTATTTTGAACAAACAATCTTAACTCGAGTGGACCCAATTAAACACTTAAATGAAAATTTCAGCTTAGACATTCTCAGCAGTCAAACAGGGTACCACTAAAAAAAAAAAAAAAAACACGTTTTCCAAGCAAAGAAACAATTACTTTTCTCAAAAGACACTTTTTTTCTTTAACTTTTAAACCCAAATCAACACGAAACATGCTCCCAACTTTCCTCAAATTCTTCTCAGCAACCAAACAGAGATTACAAAAATAAAAAGAAAAAATATATAAAAACTCACGTTAAAAACGCTGTAGTACTCTCCAGTAAGCAAGCCCTGGCAGAAGCAGCAAAATTAAAAACTTCAAAAAAGATTAGACACTTGTTAAAGGGGAAAACATGGGATTAGAAGGTGATTAAGAGTAATTTAAGAGTTGAATGAAGAGGAAAATATTTTTGGCGGGTGGGCGAGCGGGAATTCGAGGAAAGGGGAAGGGTAGAGAAGGAGAAGAGAGGGAATTATTATTACAAGGGCATAATAGAAAGGGCAATTCTACGGGCGTTGATAACAAGGGATGGACTCGTTAGGGTTAGTCTATTTTTAAGGGTATTTTGGTCATCCTGTTCTTTTATACTCTCTGCGTATACAATACGATAAGAGATACTCTAGGATTTACTTATCCTTCAATCATGACTAAATCTTTTCTTAGTGATCTAACGATTGATTTTACTTATAATAATAGTGGTATTTTTTAGGGATTGATGAAGTTCTATTTTCGACTGTTCTCTTGCCTTTTGGGTGGATTGGATATACATAGGGACTACTGTTTAGCTGCTTTACTCGATTTTATAACTACTTATTAAAATTATTTAATGAATATTGAAGAAAGTAAAAATAAAAAATTATATATACTTATTAATATGTTTTCAGGGTATAAGTATTTATTCTTTAAGGATATACCTATTATTTAGATTCATTTATTAACATGTAGAGATCTAATTGTATAAAATTTTAAAATTAAGATTCAAAATATTTTTTTCAAAAAGTTAAGGATAAAAAAAAACTTATAAATAAATCATCAAAATGCAAAAAAAATTAAAGTTTAAGGATCAAAAAAAATTTAAAAAAATTATAGAAACTAAAATGAATATTTTTGATAAATTAAATTTAGCTAATCTTTAACAAGTATTAAATTGACTAGGTAAACTAATATCGGCCAAATATATATTGGATAAAAATTTATATGATGATTTTTTAATGGGCAATGAATAAGATAAAAAATTGAATTAATAAACTGAATACTCGTCCATTGTCATTCCTATTTGTGGTTGTTATGTTAAGTTTTGTTGAGTTTTGAGGTAAAAATAATATTTAATAATTAATCATTGTACTGCATCTATAAATATTAAAATAATTAAATAGTATTTCATTAACTTTTATTATTGTATTTTTAAGATATAAAATAATCAATAATAAAGATTTCAGCATACTAAAAATATTATAAAAAATATATTTCATTTGTATTAAATAATTTATAATTTTTTAATATTACATTACATTTTTTTGTAAGGGTAATTCTAAAGTTCAAAAAACTTAAAAAAAAAAAAAGGGGGGATTAAATACGATATATATATATATCATTTCAATAGTATTTTTGAAATGTGTACTTTTAAAAAAAAGATAATGAAAAATTGTTATTTAAAAAAAATTACACAATAAATAGCTGAACTTTTGACTAAAAACATCAGTAGCCGCTTTGCTTTTGTTTCCATTTTAATGACATTTGTTTTGATTTCAAAATAAAACTATGTATTTGACAAAATACTACTTTTATTTCAAAAACAGGGAAAAACATGCTGCTTTCTAATTGCTACTTTCCATGCGAAAGAAGTTAGATAAACTTTGTTATTATCAGGAACTAACCAGCTTTTTTTTTCTTTTTTCTTTTTCAGTTTTAACAGGTCGTTTGTTATCCAATTAGCACATGTAATATGTCATCAAACAAATAACTCCCCACAAAATTTTCATTATCACGAGCCATTTAATTTGTGCACATGTGAACCCCAAGTACTCAATTTTTAAATCTAGATAAATATACATATCAATCTTTTTATAATATTCAAAATCTCTTATCTGTTTTTAAATTTTCAATTGCATTTTATCTATTCTTGAAAATTTTTTGAAAATTTCAATTTGTTATTCGATCAAATTTTTTCCTACCATATAATTTTTTTTTACCGAAATACCATTTACTAAAATAAAAAATAAATAAAATTAAAAACACTTAAAATCACATGACCTGCATATTTTATTTTTTAAGTCTATAGAATTTTTTTTTTCAATCGATAATATTTCGATCAAAAATATTTTATTTGATCAAAACAATTGATCGAAATAACAAATTAAACATTTCAAATATTTTAAGGATAAATAAGATGCAGTTAAAAATTTAAACACATATGAAAGACTTTGAATATTATATAAAAACAAATAAATATATTTATCTTTCAAATTTAATATTTAAAAAAGTTTGTTAGATAAGTATCGGATATTAGTTAGTTAATGCATGGCTTATTCTCATAAATACAGAATAACCAGTGTCAAATTAGTTGGGCAAGGGGTGGGACTTACGGAAACTAGTGATCCTATATAGGAAACAAAGTTAACTGGTTTCTATTTTTCAAAAACTAATTATTTTATCTTTAAGTTTTAATTTTATCAATAACTTAGTTTTTGTCAGTTTTTCATTAAATTGTTGATTTTTGTTTCAAATCATCTTCTTTTTAATGTATTATTTTTCTTTCATGATTTTTGTTTTCAAATTATCCTTTTTTTTTAATGCCTTGTTTTTTTTTTTTCCATCCACTTTCTTTCTCTCTCTTCAGCCATCATGGTGATCTTTTACTTAATTTCTTCAATTAGTTGATAGCTGAAGAAAGGAAAAAGAAATCAGGAAATAAAACATCAAGCAAAAGACAATTTAAAAACAAAAAATAATGCAATAAGATACCTCATAACTAATCTAATAAAAAAAATGATGGAAAAACTAAGTTATTGACAGAATTAAAACATAAAAGACTACATGATTTTTTTTTTAAACAAGAGGGACTAATTTGTAATTTACTCCACATATTATTACACTAATGCCCCTCTATACGTTATCATTACATTATATAGCACACACTTTATCGAACCACATCCTTCTGGAACTCATCCTCACTTCCTAAGCATGCAAGAAATATGCTAATGCTTCGGACCTTTTCCTGAAATCATTTCATTTTAATATACACTTTTGGAATCAAGGGGAAGACTTGTCACACAGCTTTTGACATTTTGCAATCACAGGAACCTAGTATTTTCTTGGCACTAACAAGAACTTAATATTGTGTAAGAGAAATCAATTTCTTGTATGGAGAGCGTAAAAATCATATTACAATGCCTGCTACAGAAGTAATCATGTTGCAACAGTGCAAAAGAATCGGAACATCTTCACTTGAGCATAGGACAGCCAGAAAAGTTGTGCGGAAAAACCCAGTTCACAAGTGCAACTCTCTGAGATATCAATGCGCACAATCGGAAGAGAAAAAAGGAGACTTCTGCTGATTCTTTGATTGGAGTAGAACTTTTCTCGGCAAGTATCTCATCCTTGTTCCACCAAAGATGATCTCTGCTTTGTTACTTGTGGCAATCGATTACATGGCAAGTAGAGCTGCCAGTGAAATTAAGCACACTAAACCAACAAACTGAACTGGTTCCTCGAAAATCAAATTGATTCCAAACACCTGCATCCTCTTGAATCCATCGAGTGACACCTGCATTCTATTGCATCCATCAAGAAGCCACTTTTCCCTCTAACCTGCTATCTTCGAGCTTGGGCAGCAGTTCAGAAACCACTTTCTGTAGGGCGACGTGGTTTACTTGATTCTTCCTTCCATTTATGACCATTTTTGACAGAAACATGATGTCTTCAGTATCCAAATCTTTCACTAGTTCACTCCAGAATCCATCATCCTCGTTGATGTTTGATGCTCTCATGAGTTCAATTACTTTCTCCAAGGTAGCCACATTACGACCAGCGCCACACCCCATTGCAGTTGCGGCACCTACTGCATTTGCAATTGCTAATGTATTTATCAAGGGCATATTATGGATGTAACCATATGCAATAGCAGCTACAAAACTATCTCCACATCCAACAGTGTCGATGACATTCACCTGATCACATTTTAGAATACCAATCAAAATCTTACTCTCCACTTTTCAGGACATGCAATGGGGAAAAAAAGTCAGACAGAAAATATGGGAATGTCCGATCAGAATATCAATCGAAATCTTATTTCCACTTTTCAAGATACATGGGTAGAAAAAAGAGCTTAACTATGGGAAGCTTGAGCATGAATTATTCACAAGTTTTATAGAAAACAAAAACTTACATGGCTTAAATTAAAGAAAAGAAAATCAAAGATGATTAGTAAAAAGAACGTTCACTACTTGCCATGCTGTTGGTTTTTGCTTCCTCTCAGGTTTTGAAATCCGAACGGCTTGAGAAAATGTCCAGCAACAAAAATGAGGTGGCACATGTCTTAAATTAACAACAAACATATTCAAATACGATGAGCTAAGAACATCCTTAAAACTAAGGCATTCTATGGGAGAATAAAGACACCTGGTTTCAAGGAAATACAATAGAATTGCAGCTTCAAACAACTCTATGAAAATGACAGAAATATCATACCTTGAATGCAGGAGCACAGGATATACTTGACATTGTGACTAGTATTGAGCCTCTTGAACCCATTTTAACGATCACCCATTTTGTGTGTATCCCTTTTTTAAGCAATTCTTGCCCTGCTAGCATTGGGTTTCCTATGCCAGTCAATGACTCAGCCTGGCAGATAATTAATGTCAGAGCACTAAATCAGAACTACACCATGTGAACTGCTTAAGGAATACAAACTCAGAGCACAAATGGAAGAGGAGTTAATTGGTCTACAACAGAAGGTGCAACAAATTACTTGGAACAGTCATAACAAGCTCCAACACTAACCAAAAAGGAAAGAACTCCCAGCATATAACGGTTAAGGAAAAATTTTAATGAAACACATCAATGATGCTGTTTGGTTGGATGATTTTGGAGCTTTTTAGTCGTGTTGTGTATCCATGAACAAGTACTCAAGAGCCATGTAGGGTTTCAGTACTTATTGGTTGTATAGAAGTAAGTGGCTATCTGTAATTGATAGCATATCCAAAGAACAAGGTGACAATTATAGATAACAATCACACAGTAAGAATCTATGTTAGCATAGAACTTCAAACACTTATAGGGACAGATGGAAAGTGCTTAATTAAACTAATTCATTTAACAATCAGTTTACACTTCGACAAATTTAATTTTTTGAGAAATAGTTTACACATTGACCTTAGTTTCATTGCATGATCCAGACTAACTCATCCACAACTCTGAATGAATCTCTATACACCATTTCATATTTAGTTAAATGTTCAAGATCAAATAGAAGATTCTAAAAAATTGTTTTCCAAACATTCCATGCTCCTCAAAACTCTCTATTATTTTGTAAACTCTAGATATACAAATGTGGCTAATCACAGAATCCATGGGGCATAAACAACAACACAAGGTATTATTATCTTCTTCTTTTTTTAATTACTATTATTACTACTTTTACTTTCAATAATCTGAATTCTAGAATTGTTTTCAATAGCAGATTAGTTTTGAACTTTTGATAGGAGATTAAAGTGATTGCCTTTTGCTCAGAACTGAATCTAATCTTAAAACATTGTAAGAAAATTCTTGGTCAAACCTCATCGGATGTTAGAAGAAGAACATCGCTCATCTTCAACAAATGGCTAAGTGCTTGTTGTTCTTCAGGTGTTCCAGTTGAAAGACTCTTTCCACGGGGTCCGGGATCAAAGAAAACAGATGTTCCAACTTCAACAGCATAATCTATAGCTAACATTATCAGACCTGGGGAGAGTTCATCAAAGCCATAGCCATTACAGAACAGGATCTTGGACTGTTTAATGGCCATCTTTACTTCTCTCGATAATTTACTCATCCAGCTAAATGCAGGCTCCTTACAGAAATCTGCTCCACTGAAAACAGCAAAAGCCACACAAAGATGGTCCTGCTGAGCACAAATTTTTTTTTTTAATTGAAAATAGCAATCTAATTCTGCACAGCCAGGAAAGCATTTACCTACAAAATCCATGTCTTTGCAAAGGGTCAACAAGAACCCAACACAAAAGGGTCTCATACGAGGCACTAGAACAATCAACCATATCACCATCGTCACTCATCCCAACCATATTAATCCCCTCCTGGCGTAGCACATCTAGCAAAAATTGCCCATATATTTCATCGCCCACATGACCAATCGTGGCACAATGAAGTCCCAATCTTGCAGCTGCTATAGCGATATTGCAGTTACCTCCAGCTTCCCAGTATTTCTACTTGCCAAAAAAAAAAAAAAAAAAAAAACACGCACACACTCAAATCACTTTAAATCCAAACCAACAACCAATATAGACAAATGGGTGATTAATGCATTTGCTTTTCATTAGTAAGATAATGAGTTAAATACTACTTAAAATTCTTAAAAAAATAACATCAATCAACAGCAAACATATGAACAGTTAATATAAATAAAAGGGTCACTAATGCAAGAAATAAACTTCATTTCTTTTCAACATACACTAATTAAAATTCTGCAAAAACAGTATCAATCAATTAAAAAACAAATGAAAAGCTATATAGTTTCAATGTAATATATTTTGGGTACTGACCATTTCCAAAATTAAATACTGAAATTAGTTAAAAGAAGAGCAAACCTTGTCAGGCGGGGATTTGGACAGCTCTTGCATATAAGCAAAACGAGCCTCACGAGAACGAGGTGGCAATTTTGGAACATTAAGAACAATATCAACACAAAGATTTCCCAGAGTCGCAACATCAATGGTTTTGATACCAACACTCTTCGCTTCCCAGTCATGAACGGCAGCACCGTTACCGTTTGAAGGACCAAGCGAGGCAGGGCCGTGGCTGGGGACGGAAAGTTGGATTCCTTTACAGGTGAAAACGGAGTGTTGGTGGTGATGGTATCCTCCAGTTTTTGGAGGGGAAAATGGGATGACAGACTGTCTAGGGTTAAGAGGGCGAGAAAAGATTGGGTGGGAAGAAGGTGCATGGTAAGGGAGTGGAGATTTGAGAGTTACAGTGTAGTGATGCATTCAGCGGTGGAAGGAGAATGCGAGTGAGAAGAGGAGAGGAAAGGAAGGAAACTGAGAGGAAAGTGAGGAATGTGTCAATATTTAAGGAATGACTTTAAGGATGTTATTTTTGCCGTCCGCTTGTTGCAAGAGAGTGGTCAAGTGGAGACTGCAACTTTTTTCCAAGTGTTGTTCGCGTGGGGATTCTGGGAACCTTTGATCCACTTTTTGTTCTTGGTCAGAAGTTTCAGATTTTCTTTCCTTTATTTCCTCTCTCTTGAACGGATGAGATTTTTTCTTAATGTTTCGAATTCAAGAATGTTTCTCTTTCTAACGAGGAGAAATTAGCAAAATAAATCTATTCATCTTTCAAATATATATATATATATATATATATATATATATGGTTTTTTATATTTTGTTTGACTTTGTAAAAACGAATAAGATAAATCTTTTTAATTTTTCCCAAATAGCCCGACATGCCTAACACTCAAAACCAGGATAAAACTCTTTCGGATTTTGTCCCTTTTTTTCCCTGAAATTTTATCCGGTGTTGGGTTTTAATTGAAAAAAAAAAAGAGGTTACGAGAAAAGAAACTGTCATGAATTTCCTTGTATACATGTAGATGATTTGAGTAACTTGATCAAAAAGAACTTATCTTGAACTCCACTGAGAAGAAACCAGGAAGAAAGCAGAAATGGGGAATTCTATTACAGGATTCCAAATATTTCCATTGAATTCCAACAGTAAAATGGTTTTATTGACCGTCAAAAGTTTTAGAATATGGCATCGGCATCTCACAATTTGTTGGTGAGCAGATTTTCATTTTTAAACATTGCAGCTAATGAAATATATGCCTTAGTGAAAAGAATCATTTGAATCTCTTGATAAAAAAAATACATAAATACATCCACTAAGAGAGGTATACACGCTAGATGCACATTCTATTTTCCTCCCTCTGGATGAGAATATATGCTATCAAAGGAAATTTTGAAGTAACAAGTTGCAAATCCAGTCGAGATATTCTAGAACAATTCTGTTTTGCAATCATTTTTATTCGTTTTTACAAAGTCAAACAAAATATTATGACTTGAAGTAATTAAATAAATCTAGATCAATCTGTTGTTTGCAAAGGTGCCCAAATGCAGAAAGGGGACACAGGGTGTCAGCCTTGAGCTCAGCCTTGAGCTACAAGTTTTCCTGAAAAAAAAAAAAACATGGATTTTGCAATCTTCAAAATGTTTTTTCTTACATGACTTGAAGTTATTATGACTTCGGTAAAAATTAATTGATTTTCGGTAACTGAGTTATATAAACAAAAGGTTTTACTTACTTTTCTGTAACAAGAAAATGAAACCACCATTTACAGGAACAACCACTTGCACAACAACTGATTACAACCTAGTCTTGAATGACTAGGTTAATGGATTCCTTTTTTCGGTAATCATTCAAGAATAAACGAATCATAATATCAGTGCTATAACTTCAAGAAAACTTAAAATCAATGTCTATACTGTGGCTCCAACTTTTGAAATGACGTCAGGAAAGATGGATACATGCCCCCATTGTTTCACACACTTATCAAAATGTTGTCAGTGTAGTTAAACAATCTGCATAGGAAGAGAACCAGTGGCTGAGATCCGGAGCAAATTGCTCTGAATTTTTCCGATGCTCTAATCCTAGAATGCATCAATTTATTCAAACAACGAAAAAGACCAGGGATAATATTGGAATACTATATTTGCACCTAAGTAAATTACAAAATCATGAACAATTAATCGATGGCTACCAGATCATTGTAAAAGGGAGGGGAAGGAGATTTTTCTTCTAGCAAAGTTTTTACAGATTAATCTCTGGATGGAGAGATTGTTCCTTTGCCAATTCCTCTAGTTTGTTGTAAACATTTTGTGCTGTATCACCATATGCTTTGGAGATCACAGAATCAGGTGCTGAAATCACTACAGGGACACCTTCATCAGAACCTTTTCTGACATCCATTTCTAATGGTATCTGAAACATCAAAATGTAAATTGAAGTGAATTACTAGTCACAAATCAATTGTAGTCATCAAGAGATTGCATTCATCATATCCAATGTAAATCAAAATATCAGACAGCCTATAATGTGCCAAATATGCAACAAGAAGACTGACACACAAGAACATTGAATTCCTCGTTTCTGAAAACTTTTAAGTTGCTCAAAAAAAAATGACATACCTCACCAATAAAGTTGTGACCCATCGAAGCAGCTGCACTTCTAGTTCCTTCTTTCCCAAAAATAAATGAAGGTTCACCACAATGCGGGCATTTGAAGTAACTCATGTTCTCGACAAATCCCAAAATCTGTAAACGTCATTAGAATGCTTATCAATAGAATTATTAACAGTAGCTTTTATTTCCTTTCCTATAGAAGATCATAAACAATAGAATAAAAATCCCAAACTCCTCCATGACAAGCAACAGAAGAGGGATAAACTTCAGTTTTTACTAACCTACCAAAAACTCATAAATCTGCAAAATACATGCATGTAAGAGAAATATATCCACCCAACAATTGATGCTTGCACATTTCACATGCATCCATGGGTGCTTGCATGTTTCATATGCATAGCACCAAAACTTATAAAAGCATCATCTATTGTAACTATTGTGATTTGTAACCAAAAAAGTTATGCCACTGATCATAATCATTTTTTATGCACCATCCAGTGATTCTCCATTATCTAAGCTAAATTACTGGAATTTTTCACTAATAATGAATCAAGTGACATTTTCAGATATTGGCAAAAGAAATTATCGTACAGGAACATCAACTTTCGAGAACATATTGGCTCCACGACGAGCATCCATCAAAGCAATATCTTGTGGAGTTGAAACAATCAATGCACCTGTACAAGCAAAAAATATGTTACTGAAACAGTCTCGTATTGGCAGTGAAATAGGAAAAGCTTTCTTTTTTACCCCCCAATTAGATATAGGGTGTTATATAACATGTGGGAAACATCCTGAAAGAATCAAAAAAAGCACATGTATGATCATCACAATTTTATCCACTTATTATCAAAGCGAAAGTTTTACCGCTTACGAAATAATCGGAATGAAACTAGTATAAATCCACAGAAATATAATGAGAAAAGGCCAAATGAAACGTTCAGTTTCCAAAATCATTTTCAACGCTGTAAACATAATGCTAGCAGTGTCACCAAAAATCCATATCATATCCAGAAGCCATCATATAAGAGGTCTGGAATAAAACATGATACTATATAAACTAGGTACCAAGAACCAAAAGCTTAGTATTATCATTTAAGACAAAAGGTTAGTCAGCATAATGGCAATCATCAATTTGATAGTTAAATCAGCACAACAACAAAACCTTAAGAGGGAAATGGAGAGCACTGCTTCTTTTTTCTTTGGCTAACTGAAATACTCTTTACTCACCAGATAATTGCAGATTTTGGGTCATGGTTAGCTGTGCATCACCGGTGCCAGGAGGCATATCCACTACAAGAATGTCAAGGTTTCCCCACTCAACTCCCCTGGTCATTTTCACAAGAGCACTCATCACCTGTAAGAAAAAGTCAACTCAAGTTCTCATATGAAGCAAATAAACATTCTATGAGACAGAAGTGCTACATTCTTGCCACCAGTACTTATTTGCAGATGATGTAAGGGCATATAGATGAAAGGAGAGTCAATGTAAAACAACAGGGTTATCTTAATGTTTGTTGTTATCAATGTTAAGACTATATTTTGCACTAAAAGAAAAGGGAAAGCATCATCCTACGTTAACCAATGACGAATTGTTGAAATTTTGTCAAGTTGATGTAAGACCATAATCCTTTTGAAAGATGAATTGAAAACATATAGGAGAAATATAATGACTGAAGTACCATGGGACCTCTCCATACAATAGGAGCTTCCTTCTCTACAAGAAATCCCATCGACATACACTTAACTCCATAGTTCTCTATTGGAATCATCTTTTTATCTGCAAGAGCGAGAGCGAGAGGGTAAGTTATGTTCAAATCATTGTCTAGAAGTTATAACCATTGCAAACTGAGATCCGTTACATATGTTTGGGTGGTGATTGTGTATCCCTTTCGAGCCACAATACATATAATTCAATAGTGACAATGAGAAATGAGAATGATGAAGTATGAAATCAACTGAAGTTTGGAAACGACCTTGAATAGCTCAGCTAAAAACTTCTTCCTATCCCAAACCCCTTGCTATAACACCTACAAGGATCAGCTAATTGACATCCACTTAAACTACTACTGTAAATTGACAACATGCCTTCGTACGCACATTAGAGAATTAAAGCATTACCTTCAGTAATATCCGGCTTCCTGTCAATCTTCATCATCAAAGGAATGGATGGTCCATAAACATCAGCGTCGAGCAGGCCCACCTTCAGTTGGCACTTATTAGCAAGTGCAACAGCCAAGTTAACTGCAGATCCCACCAGCATGGGCATACGAATCCAATGAAACAGCATTAAGGAAAAGGGCAATGGTAAGTGCCTTGTGGATCTTATGTACAAAGAAAAGGCAGATAACATGGTAATCAAATGCATTTGAATTCGAGAAACGATCAATATTGCTCATAATTTAAAGTTAGTTTCCACTTTCCACTCCTCTTTAAACCACCCCACACTAAAACATCACAGAAAAAAGCAAATAATTCCAAATGAGAAATAATAAAGCAGTCATTTCACAAAATCAGCACATTAGCATTGACCCAGAAGTTAAAAATTGTAACCACCTAACTGCCTCATTAGCTCACAAAACTGACAAAAAGAAAGGAAATTTCTCGTTAATGCTGGCATATTAGCGCCTGTCCCAAACTCCCAACACGTATCTTTTCCAGACTAGTCTAACAACACAAAAGACTCTCCATTTCAATAAGAAAAATGAAAACAAACTTGTTAAAAAGCTCAAAATGAAACAAACCCTTCAACTCAAGTGCCCCTAAGACTAGAAACAAGAAAAGAAATGACAAAAGAGAAGTAAACCAAAAAAAAAAAAAATTACCAGCAGTGGTGGATTTGCCAACGCCACCTTTACCAGAAGCAACAGCAATAACGTCCTTAACCCCTTCAAGCCGTAATTGTGATCTCTTAAACGTCCCTGAGTAGCCCTTAACACCTCCAAGTCTCTGCAATCCAAACCCATCCCATCATCATCTCCATCAAATTACAAAACCCAAAAGCGGGAAAAACTAAATACAGAAAACAAGACCTAAACTTACGCTTAAAGGTCCCAAGAATCCCTTCATGAATCCAACCTAGTTCAGGACACAGAGCTTCAAGACTGATGAATATCTCTTGCAAGCGTTGATTCAGTCTTTGGGCTGCGTTTGTAATGATCGACTATGCGTTGGTAAGGGTGCGAATGGTGGTGTTCGTTTTTCGTACCACATCGGAAAGAAGTGACGAGTAGTCTTAAAAGGAGGGAGCATAAAAAAAGGAGGGCTAAATTGTAAAATAACCTTCTAAACTTGAGCGAAAAAATAAATTCCCCTTCACGAAAAAAAACCCCGATTTTACTCCCTCAATAATACGATTTTCTTATTTTACTCCTCCTTTTATTTTTTACATAGGTAATTGACGAAAAAGCCTTTAATTTCTCTCTTTCTCCAACTACAACGATGAAAGAAAAAAAAAAAAAAAGGACCATTCAAATACGCTAAACCCCCACTAAACCAATCGAACCTGACACCAAGCCACCCTTTTCACCATCGTTGCTGTTCATGAAGACCATTCTCTTCCTAAATCCGACAGTCACTACCATATTCCTGCAAAAATCGAAACCAGCAAAAAAATCTCTGATTTTTCTCCTAAACAATATGATAGTTGTTGGGATCCGATAGCTATCCTCCTCCATCATGGACCAGCCTTTCAAATCTTCCTTCACTTTGAACCTGGCATCCAAACCAATCGAACCCGACACCATCAACAACCTTTCACCAGCCAGCTCTCCTTTTTAATGGCCTCGGCAGTGAACGATGACCACAATAACAGCTCTTCACGATGACAACGCCACCCTCAATCTCAGCAGCAAACAACAGGGGGTGATGCGATTTTCTTTCCTTTTTCTTTTTTCGACAACAAGCAACAATGGAGAGACAGGATAAATTGGGATTTTTAAGGAAAGATTTAACTAAGATTTTTCATTAAGATTTCTTGTAGTTACAGAGGTAGAGAGGTATTAGGGGCTTTTTCGTCAATTACCTATGCAAAATCAAGAATTTTTTTATTTTTTTTATAGCTATTTATTTTTTCTCTTTTAAGTTGAGGGGATGTTTTACAATTTAGCGCTGAACTTGAAAAATTACTAACCTGGACATGGTCAATGGGCGATCGAGAAGGCCCACGGCCTTGGTCGGCGGTTCTCATCGTACCTAGATAGCGCGTAAGCAAACATCTCCCCGAATAAGAGAGTGTAACGTCATCATTTGTGCTAGTGGGCCTGCTTTCGGGCGGCCCTCTCCAGTCAGAACTATATTTCAAAATATTGGGCCTTAAAAGTAAGAATATATGGTCAATTGGTTTCGGGCCCGGTGCGAATGAAAGTTAATAAAATACCGATGGGCTATAGGATCATTGAATTTGAATAAATCGACATTTTAGCAACCTGTTATGATAGATTTGCTAAGTTAGCAGATTATATCTGATCTACCGACGTATTTTCTAAACCTTATTGATTTGTCAAAATCGAACCTTAATTTTCTGAAAGATTCTCGAGGAAATAGAGCTAACCGGAACTTCTTGGAATGCTTGGTTGCTGCTTTCAACTATCCACTGTGATGGCTGCATACAAGTCGTGGAGATTCATTTTCTTGAACAAAGAAAGAAACCTATAGATTAGCAGTGGAGGTCCATTTCGTTTCTTTGCTGTTTGCCTGATGATTTAGCCATTGTAACAGAAGATATCGAGATATCATCATTATTTTTAACTATAATCAGTACTATAATTTATGCTTCTGTATAAACCCCATTAAAAAACGTGGGCCATGATTAAACAAGACAGTGACAGTCAACGAGTTGCAAGCATAGCATTCACAGCGTCGATGGATACATGGGATGATTGAAAAGGTTTTACTTTATCTCTTTAATTTAAGCTAATATTTTGAAAAAAGAAATATTTATTAATGTATTATGTCAATATAAAAGATGTATTTTTAAAATTATTAAAATAATTTCGACTGAAGGTAAAGATATCACGGGGGAAAAAAAAAAACAAGTACAACATTGATTAAAACAAAAGTTAAACGCCTGTCCAAATAATTGGGATGGGATGTTGTTGGCAGATTGCATTTGCATTTCTATTTTGGCCATCGACAAATCACTACTGCAATTATAAAGCTTTCCCTCTATTTGGGAATCATGCTAATCAAAGACAGTTAATGTCAACGGTCGCTCATTTTCCTCGGTAACAATCAGCCACCTTATTTGTAAATTTCCCTGCACTTTCCTCTCTCTTTTCTAGTTTTCTTTGTCGAATATGATAATTATTTAAAATGGCAATGCAATTCTGCTCTCTTCCTCGTTAAATTTCATCTTGTTCCAGGTACATTTCTTTCTCTGGTTTTCATTTTGCTAATAATTGAAACCCATTTTTTAAAGTGCAATTTTTTATACGAATCTGTGTTGTAATTGCATTGCCCATTGTATTTCACATTGACCCTTTTGTTTTATGAATAATGATTGGTTTAGCAGTTCTTAATCTCTCAGCATTTGTATTTTTAACCTTTAAAGAGTGCAGATCATGCATGAAGAAATTTCAGTGATTTCATAATTACGCAGAATTCTCAAGGGATAATCTGTTTTTTTTTTTTTTTTTTGTCTGACCAAGTGAGAAGAATCTGGGTTTGGATTCTTATCAATAATGGGTTTTATTTGCAAATTAAATTCTCTGTTTGTCATCATTATTGTGGTTGTTAGCTGATTCTAGTGTTACATTGCGTAGTTGGGTTGGGTAGAGGTTTTTTTTTTTAATTAGTAATCTTCTTATTGGTTGTCAGTTGATTGAATTGGGCAGAGCTAATGCTGTACAGTTCCACCTGCCATTTTTATGAGGGGTTTGCTCATTTCATGATCCTTTTATTTATGCCCGGATTTGCATTGCATTTCTTTTTAGGTTCAGTTATTTTAGATAGAGTCTCACGTTAAGCTTTAAAAACAGTTTTAAAAGTGGACAGTTGGGCTGAGTATCCTCTATTGTGGGGCTTTCCAAGACATTTCTAATTTTCTTCTTTTCTTCTTTATTCATTTTTTAAAAGCATTGCTGCAGATTTATCCGTAATTTAGCTATTATTGAATTGATTCAATTATTGCTGGTTTCTGGGGGTTGTGGCAACTTGCTACATTGTATTCAGACAATATGCATCTGGATGATTGGTCTATGAAATATTTTGATGAATAAAAGCTTTTTTTCTTTTTTGTGATTCGGTGAATGCAGAAATTCATGGAATTCTAGTGTGTTTCTGGTGAAAATGGCTGCAACTGGCACTTCATTTGTTAAAGTACAGAGGAATTTGCAGAGGTTTACAACAGTTCTACAATCTGCAGCTTGTGAATGGTTTTTGATCTTTCTGCTGCTCATTGATGCTGTACTCTCGTATCTGCTGACAAAATTTGCAAGTTATTGCAGATTGCAAATACCTTGCATGTTTTGTTCCAGGCTTGATCATTTTCTGGGCGATGAAAAATCTGGATTTTATAAAAATGCAATTTGCAGCAACCATAGATCAGAAATATCATCATTGATTTCTTGTCACATTCATGGGAAGCTTGCTGATGGCTATGGGATGTGTGAGGAATGTCTATTGTCTTCCATTATGAAAAGCAAATCAAGTGCAGACATCAACAGACTGTTGATGGGTAAGTTTGGGTTTGACATTGGCGCTTGTGGTTTTGAGAACTATGTGCGGAACAGGGAACTTGTTTCTAGTTCTGTTGGTACGAGGATGTGCTCATGTTGCAATAAGCCTTGGAGATCAAGACAACCTTCCAACAGAATTGTGCAACTGAAATCACCTAGGAGTGGGATGACTAAGCCTAATATTCCTATGCCCCGTCATTTGACCCACCGCGAAAATATAAAGAAAATGCGAGATAATTTTCCTGGGTCTGTAACGTCTCACCGTCTTGTAAGGTGTGGTTACAATCCCCGGTCTCATGTAGCATACACTGAGCTCAAGTTCACTTCTGATTCTGAGTCTGAATTGCCGTTTTCTGATGATGATGAGGGCAGTAGTATTGGTCACAAAATGAAGGAGCTGAAGGAAGAGTCTATAGTTCCACCCAAAACACTGACTGATGGTATAGCCTCAGAGAAGATGACTTCTCATTCCTTGAAAAGCTTGGCTTCTGATGTTGAGCTTAACCAGCGGCAAGCTGATCATGAAAATCATCCCTCTGCACTACCTGAGCTTATTTCTTTAGATGATTGTCCTTCTTCAACCAGTGTAATGGATGCTCCTGTTGGAGTGTCATCAGTGAGAAGTGAGCTCAAGTTTCCTTTCTCTCAGAATTACAATCTTTCTGCACTCTCTGATCTCATGTCACTAGTAGTTCCCTCATCATTTAATGCTGTTGAAGGTCCTTTGGAAGCATCAGATAGGAAGTGTAAGTTCTCCATATCTTTCTACTTGCCTGTTCTGTGTGCATGTATGAAGATGACTGTTTTATATTCAACTTATTTCCTTCCTGGAATTGTTTCTACCAGCACACGACCCTGGGACAGGTGACAGACAAGACATATCCATCAACAAGCATAAGGAAATTTCCAAAATAACTGCATCAACCAGAGGAGGTGGTCAGGTTGCTAATGAAGTGCCTTCTATAAATTCACGTAATGTGGATCTGATTGACATGGGGAAGCCTGCTGCCAGTGGCAAGGATGGAGAATCAAGCACTTCTATGGCAGAAAAACAGAATGTGAATGAACCTGAAATAGTTGATGAAAATTTGGAGTTGCCAACAGAAAATGTTTTTGCTGAAGGGCCTGATTTATCTTTGAATAATACTGTCACCAGGATCGAAGGTCATGGTGATGAATTGCAGATGAATGATGCTTTGAGATCTAATGGAGTTCAGACGCTTAAGCCAGAGAGAGCTGAGTCATCCAGTCTTGAGTCTCTTGATGGAAGCTTGGTCAGTGAGATTGAAGGTGAAAGTATTGTTGATCGGTTAAAGCGACAAGTGGAGTACGATAGGAGACGCATAAGCTCTTTGTATGAGGAATTAGAGGAAGAAAGAAGTGCTTCAGCAATTGCTGCAAATCAGGCAATGGCCATGATCACAAGGTTGCAAGAAGAGAAGGCAGCACTTCATATGGAGGCCCTGCAGTACCTAAGAATGATGGAAGAGCAAGCAGAGTATGATGTAGAGGCTCTCGAGAAAGCTAATGATCTCCTGGCTGAGAAGGAGAAAGAAATACAGGACTTGGAAGCAGAGATAGACCTTTTGCGATTAAACTTCCCCAATGAATCAATGGCGGAGACCATACATGCGGAAAGTTACGATCTGAGAAATATGAGTTTAGAGAAAACTCCCAAATGCTATGATGATACCAATGTTCCTTCTAGCTCATCGTTTAGGAAGGCCTTGAATGATAGTGAGAAACCAGCTAGTGTCAAATCTTCTTTGTCAGAATATGAAAATCAAAAATTGCTCATTTCAAAACGTTTGAAGAGTTTGGAGAGGAAACTTCATCAATTTGCATCTCACGGGGCTTCACAATTCATTTCGAATAGTGACTATTCTGAGGAAGCAGCTCATGGAGGGCTTAATGAGAGAGAATCTCTCAACCATGAGGAGTCGAACAGATAATCAGACAAAAGAAGATAATTTGTCAACACAAAAGGATTCACCTGTAACTAACGCCCATGAAATTTCCAGTGCTGCAATTGGCAAAGATCAAGTTGTTAGTAACGAATGTAATTGTCCTGTTTTTGATGGACAAAATTCCTCCAAGCAACATAAAGAAATTGATTTGGTTGTTCTTGAAAATGAAATCTCAGACCTTTATGGAAGGTTGGAAGCACTTGAATTTGATAGGATTTTTCTGGAGCATGCTTTGAATTCTCTTCAATCTGGAAACGAGGGACTACAATTTGTTCAAGAAATAGCTCATCATCTGCAAGAATTGCGGAAAATTGGGATGAGAAATAGTGACCAATCTATTCCTTGAGTTTATATGCTTTGTTAAGAGGTTAGTATATTCATTGTAACATTTGCATTTTCTTCCACATGTGCATGCTGTTGTTCTAACAGCTTCTGCATTTTCTAGCTTAAACATAATAACCTAGCTAGAAAAGCCTGTTCCAAATAGAAATATATATACATGTGTGAACATGCATGCACCTCTGTCACAATGCACTCACGCACAAACTCAGTGAGAGAGACGGAATGCTTCCATGTGCTTTTCTCTTATCAAGCCTCCTCAAGGAAGCAATCTCGATTCTCTAGTGCATCAAGATGACCGATGAAGATTAACATCAACAGAGCCTTTTTCCTAGGCATAGAAGTCGAACTGGAACAGTAAACATAATGGTTCTAATAAAGATTCTGCGCCACAAGTATGATACTGATCTGTTTCTTGAGTAATAGGGCAGAGAGTGCTGCTAGATAATTTTATGAATAGAGCTGTAGTTTCACTAAGAGGTTAGCACATAATGGATAGAGCAGATAATCCATTAATTGTTCCAGGACAACCCTGAAGTGTTCATTGAGAAATTATTAACACTATAATTAACATGTTTACTGGCATAGGGAAATTTATAATTAGCCTGTGGTAATTTTAAAACCCTCCCATCAGCATGGTAAATGGTTTTGAATTTTGCAATGTCCTTTCATGTTCAGAAAAACCTAATGAGTAAAGCATATACTATCACCCAGGACTTTTGAGAGGAAATTCATTATCACAACTCACAAGATTCAAGGTGTTGAAATGATAATGTTGATGCATATTCAAATTTGCAGCTTCCAGAATGTCCATTTTTGGCTAGAAGTTTAGAAATTTTATGCACATAGAAATGAATTGTTGGTACAGGACTCTTTTTACCATGCATTGCTTTTTTTGTTGTTTAACCCACTAACCATCACCAATGAAAATGTTAGTTTATGTATTTGTCAACTAACTGGAACTTCTTGAAAATAACTAGCATAAAGATCTTGCCAACCTTCACATGTTTGGATTCTACGTGAGTTCTGAAATGGAAATTAGGTGGAGAAGACTAATCCTGCTCCTTGATGATGATGATGAGGCTCTTTTTCCCTATGCTGTCCCCTAGATTCCTAATAATCAACTGATCAAAATTATGCCTCTTAATGAACAAGCCAAGATGCTTGTTTCTGTTTGCAGTAGGGTTATCTGCGCTGTGCCCTGCTGCAACTAATGCTTTGCCTTTTGCCTTCGCCTTTTCTATAATCTTTAAATAATGCTGTACTTGAGATTCAACATGTGTCTTTTCATCTCATGCTTGATATAATTTTGAGATATGCATTTGACACTAACGAAAGAATTGGAAGTCTAAGTATATTGTCTACTACTTCCAGAATTTCAGCGCAGGACTTGTGACATGCTGCTGCATCAGCTCAGCTATCGTGCTAATCGTATATAGACATACTGAGCTCTCATGTACAGGTAATAATACCTTAGATTTCTGGAAGAAAAGGGTGACATAACTCTGAAAATTGGTTCTGTCGATTTTGAAGTGATTTCCTCCTCCTTTTTTTCCCCCGCCCTCCTTGTGGATTTCTTTGCTACCTTTCCTGTTACTACAACTTGTAGGCAGGTTAATCTTTTTGATAGTTTTGTGGGCACAGATAGAAGAGAATGAAAATAGTTGCATAGTGTTTCTGTACTTAACTATCTATAATTTTCTTTAAGTCAATCAAAGTCCATAGTAAATTCAAAAGACCTTCTATATTCATTTTATTTATTTATTATCGTTATGTATAGTCCCCTTATGTTATCTTTACCAACAAGGAATAAATAACAAGAAGAAGCCAAAAAAAATGAAGTGAGATTCTTGTCTCATTCTTGGCTCCCTTCATCTTACTAGTTTTTTTGGCTGTGATCCACACCTGTGTTCATTTTATTTTATGCATTTTTTTAGAGGGAGTAGTGTTGAATATATGATTAAAGTTTTCTCAAATATAACTATGTAGATAGAAAATAGTATCGTGATAACTGATATTCGCAATCAATATATATATATATATATATATATATATATATATATATATAAAAACAATTAAAATTATTAAATTCTAATATGAATATCCTTCGAAATTTAAGTTTTAATACTTTTCTACATCCTATTTTTTGTATTTGGCTAATATTCTTTTCATCTTGACCATTTATTTTAACGGTAAGTTATCTTTCTCTTCAATCTCTCTCTCTCTCTCTCTCTCTCTCTCTCTCTATATATATATATATATATATATATATATATATATATATAATTTTTTTTTTTTTTTTTTTTTTTTTGTGGACCTCTTCAATTTTTTGTACAACCAATTGCCTCTTTGCATGACTGTCCCAATCCTTTTCCTTGCAACTCTATCTTCTTTTGTCTTCGTCCTGTTGGATATGATTTGACTGGATTTTTATGTTTTCATAAAATTTCTATTTGTGCAATTGTGTTTTATTATTGTACGTACTTTAGATATAGAATCTGATGGTGACATCGAACAAAGTTTAGGAGCTAAACGCAAAGATAACTCTTAAACTATAGACTGTTTTGATGCACATCTTTTATAGTTTATTTTTTACAATAAATTATTAGATGTTTGGATTAAGACTTTTATCACTATTCATCATCGGGATTTTATCATTCCGACCACCAAGTTACTCTATATATGTAAATCGTTCTTTCAACTTCACAAACCATATATCAATATTAAATCTAAAAAGGCTAATTTGAGTAGAAGGGATTTTAATCTTTTAAATAAGTTGTTTCGATTTTCAGTCCGTGTATGCAAAAAACTCTTTGAGTCGTTGTGTCCATTTTGTACGTCCGATCAAATAATGATAAATTAGTCAGAATATTTGAACTTGAAATATCTTATAAATATAAAAAAAATATCTCAATATTAAAAATCATTTTAAACCTCAAATTAAAAGCAAACTTTTGTGTTATAGTTTTTAGATTTAAAATTTTCAAGTTCTGAAACACCAAATCTACTCATGATTGAATCCAAGATTATGGATGAATTTAAGATAATAAAATCTTTCATTTGGTGGTGGTCTCATCACCAATGACCGTATCGTAATGAAAGAGTTGGATCCAAATACTTCATAGTTCAATTATGAAAAATCAAAAGAAAAAATATATATATAAGCTGTCAATCAAAATAGACAAAAAAAATATAAAAAGTGTCAATCACAATAGCCAATAGTGGATTTTGTAGCCAACTTTAGGCAATAGTTTTTTGCGACTTGAGTATGTAATTTGTTGTTGTCTTGTACCACGTGACCAAAAAAAAAAAAAAAAAGAATCTGGAATGGAAAAATGAGAAAAGAAAATATGGCATATTTAAAACTGCTTTACTCGACTTTTAACTTCTTCTTTTTTTTGCTCAATGTGATATCTCTTATTTTTGTTAGCGAACAATATATTTAATATTTAGTAAAGTTGGATTTAGCTTTTCAGTTAGATTTTTTTATCTCTAATGTCCATTAATATTTTACCTAATATTTTATATTTTCTTCATAGTGTATAAGCTACTAATATTTTGAATTTTATCAAGTCAAAACCGTTCATAACGATTTTTTCCTTCATAGCAACGTCTAATTTTGAACATTGAACTACTACTAATGAATAATTCAACGCGAACGAATTCTTTAAATTTAGGTTAGATTCGAAGACATTGGGATATATTATATCCGGAATTTCCAGTCCTTAGTCACTAAGAAAAATAATTGATTGTGACATCTTGGATCTTATTGATTTCTTTCATGTCGGTAGCATATTATTTAGTGTGCAACAATATTTCTCTTCAAATTTAATTTTAAAAGGACCAAATAAAATTGTTCATGAATTATTTTTTTCTTTGGGTCTAAAAAGGGAACTTCTAAACACTAATTTTTCAATAAATTATAAATTAGTCCTTCTTGCTTTGAGAAATAAATTAATTAGTCCATTTGGTTTTAAAAACTAATAATTTAGTTATTTTTTTTATTTTGTAATTTATTTTGATTTTTTGTTTTAAGAAATAAAAATTAATTAAAAAAGTAAAAATATAAAAAGATTGATGAGAAAAGAAAACATTTTATAAAATAAAAAATATTAAATTAACCGTGTCAATACTGATTAAAAAAACTAAATAATTAATTTTTAAAACTATAAAGACTAATTAATTCGTTTCTCGAAACAAGAGGGACTAATTTATAATTTATTCATGAGTTTTCAATTTAACTTGATGTGGACAATATGCATGTTTTAAATTGGGTCGAAATTGTTTAATGCCTACGTGTGTCGATCGGAATTATCGCTTCAATGACATGTTTAGGAAACAAAGTCATTTCCTAAACATGTCATTAAGGAAAATGAAATAATCAATATTTTAGGATTATTTTATATTTGAAGAAGTCAAAAAAGATATTTTAATATTTTAGAGCTAATGTGAAAAATTAATTTAAAGGTGTTTTTAAGCAATTTAAATTTTTCAAAAGGTTCATCGTTTATATATTTTTTTATCTTAAATATATGATTACTTATGGAGAAAAATATTCAAGATAATATTAATCCATATAATATATTTAGGTATGATATTCATGGAAGAAAATATTCAAGATATGTTCTTTAGTCCGAAAGTAATTAGAATACATTTTTGACTAATCAATTAAAAAAAAGAAAAGAAAGATACATCTCACTCAAAAACTAAATTAATTTAATGTTTGTGAGTAGTACTCATATAAAAACGAATACTTATGAATAAATATAAGTTAATTTAAAAGTTAACGTAATGTTATATCCTTAATTAATATACATAAATAAGGCATATATGTGTGTGTGTCATGATTTTGTATTAGCAGCATAAAATTCTCTTAAGATTAGAATTCTATCATACAAAATGATAGTATTAGAGTTATCTTATAATTAAAATTAAATACGCAAATAATTAATTGTATTAAGAATGTATATTGGGGGCATCAAATGAAAAAAAATATTAAAAATTGTT